GTCCACTAAGATTCCAAGGTCTTCCTCACAGTTATTGTTTTTGAGCCAGGCTTCACCTAATCTGTACTTGTACCTTTGGTTTTTCCTGTCCAAGTGTAAAACCTTGCTTTTCTCCACATTAAACTTCATTTTGTATATGGTCCATTGTTCAAGTCTGTCAGGTTCTTTTGAAGACAGCAAAGTCTACATTTTGGACAGAGGGGACTGCTGGTTTGAAAGAGGGGGTCAAAGAGCCCATCTATGTCAAAATTGAACACCCCTCTCTTAAAAGAGGGGGAGGGATACGGCATCATCCATCTCCAGTCTACAACACAGTCCTTTCAACAGTTCCAAGAAGGCTCCACATCCATTTGCACTACTCAGGTGATTCTGAGGTCACAGATAAACCTCCAAGTTTGACTCTCTATGACTCTTTCAAACAATGCAAATGACCAGCTGTCTGCAAGGAATATAAATCCTTCCCTTCCCCAACGTCCAGTCAGAGCTGAAGAAGCTTGTTGGATGAGAAGCAAAACGACTTCAAAGAAAAACAAGAAAGTCCAGTTGCCTCTTGAGAAAGCACCTTTGAGATATCCTACTAACCTTATACTGGTTTGCTGGAAAAAATATTTTAAAAAGATCCTAGTCTAAGCTTGCATTTTTCTCTACTACCTCAGTTCCTAAAAGAACTACAGGAGAAAATGCAGAGAGCTGGTCTAATCCGGGTTTTTTTTGTGGCTTCAAAACCTGTGGGTATTCAATATTATCAGCACTGCCCTCAAACAGACGTACTATAAATCCTACTCCATAGCCCTAGTCCAGTGTTTCACAATTGTTGAGCATGCTGAGGAGTTGGACCACACATCAACGTTGCTGAGACTGAAATTGCTAATCTAACAGTAATTTCAGCTCACTACAAATATTGAGAAACCAAGGAAGGGTTCATTTTGTTTTGAGAACTACCTGATCCTTCTATTCTTGGCTAGTCCAAAAGGTTATCTAGAAGATAATAAGGAAGCCGGTTGTTTACCTGGTCTTTAGTTCTTCCTTCACGTTCTCTGATGTATGTAGTAACAATTCTCTCTGTCTCTTCTCGCAACCTGGGATAGGAACCAAGCTAAGGACAATAGGATAAGACATCAGATCTCTGCAGCTTTAAGCACTATTTACACAGACACACAAGAAAAAAGGAAGATCTGGGTTGGGCTGTTTCCCTGTTTTATCACTAGGGAAGGATTGATTTACCTAATGAAAGCAATTTATTTTTACCAATTTAAAACAGATCTATTTTAATTTATTAATCTATTTTGACATAATATTAACCTAATACTCCCCAATGAACTTCTGGGAAATAGCCCAAGTTCCTTCAAGGGTTTAGTAGAAGAAAGGAGCAAACAGAAGACTGGCTTCTTAATATCACAGGGAGCTGATCTTTCTCTTAGACAGAGTTGTTCATTAAATATTGTATATATTCCAAAGTATCTTTCATGACATACACATTTAATATAGAGGCAAAGGAAGTCATGTAAATTGTTCCTTTAGTTCCATTTCAAGTCGAATAGAACTATAGTTGCTGTGATCCAAGACACAGCATTACTTTAGGACCCAATTGTATAGCTGATCCATGTGCAATTAACTACAGGAAAGGAACATCTCAATTAATCAAATGAGTAACTGACCCAAATGAGTAAAAAGAACTAAGCTAATAATTAACTAAAGGAATGGAACTCCGTGTAGTATCCATTGCTTCTTATCTGAATACATTCAGGCTTTCATTTCATATCATATGAAGCCATACTCCTGAAGTGTTATCAAGAGTTAGGGAGATAGCAGAAAAGTGGAAAAAGGAGTATAGACCCATTACCTTCTCTGAACACTTTTTAATGACCATGGCCAGCTCTGAGACCACCAGATCAACACACTTCAAACTGGGCTCTTTGAGCTTTATAATCTGTTTTTTCACTATTGCTTCAAAAGCCATATCAGGTGTGAAGAGCCCCGTCCTGCACCATGCAGAAAGTATGAACACAAAGGAGAGATTCCGAAGAATAGAGGAAAAATGACAGAGAGGGAAAAAGAGATTAAAAAGGTTAGTGGTGTGCAAAATGAAAAAGCAGCAGCACTTCCTCAAGAAGATCCTTCTTGAATTGTCAAAATGAGCAGTTCCCTTCCAAAGTATTTCAAAAATTATGCTCCTCAGCAGCCTCAGACAGGATTCAAATCCTGCAGCAAAAGGGACTGTAATCCAACTGGCTCATCCTTGTAAAGCAGTGTTTCTCAACCTTGGCGACTTTAAGTCCTATGGACTTCAACTCCCAGAATCCCCCAGCCAGCATAGCTGGCTGGGGAATTCTGGGAGTTGAAGTCCATAGGACTGAAAGTCGCCACGGTTGAGAAACACTGTTGTAAAGTATTTTATGTGATAATAGGTCTTCAGCAAAGGCATGGAAGTCCGTCTCTTACTTGCTATCTTCAAAACTCATGAAAACTGCTTCAGTACAGTGGCAGGGAATGAGTTATGGCTGCTTCTCTGTGTGCCTACAGCTAGCCTACTGCTCTAGAGCAGGGTTGTCAAACTCAAGGCCCGAGGGCCAGATGTGGCCTGTGGGGTGCTTAGATCTGGCCCGTGGGGCTGCCCTTGAAACAGCGAAGGACTGGCCCACAGAGCCTCTGCCAGAGAA